AGAGAGAGAGAGAGAGAGAGAGAGAGAGAGAGAGAGAGAGAGAGAGAGAGAAAGAGAAAGAGGGGTCAGTGGAGGAGGTTCTATAGGTATATTAACGAAACATAATGGTGTCATAAAGCTAATGGTGCTCCTAAACCTGCGCTCGCGGGCTTCGTCATGCAGTATTTAAACCAGTAATTCACCGACATGATTACAAAGGCAGAGGGTTAATGGAGGCCATTATTGCGTTAAGCCCGGCGCACATGCATGTGAGTAATTTTACTCAAGTAAAATGACTCATGCGTCATTTTACTTGAGTAAAATTACTTACGGGTGCGCCGGGCTTTAGCGTTAATAGTTAAGAAAGGCGGGTATCGTGTTTCTCACTCGGTTTTAAAATTTCCGAAACCAATTTACCCCACCCGCGATGCATATAGATATGCAGCCGGCTTCACTATTTGATTTTATAGAGATTATGTATCACGCCGATGCCGTTGTATGAACTCACATGTAAACGTCCATGTAAGCGCACACATATGCGCGCACACAAATGAGACTTTTATTAAAGGCTATCGGCTACAAAAAAAACACACTAAATCTTGTCCCTATATTACGGTAATTATAGCTAATATATCGACGAAATAAACGTGCTGCTATCATTTAATACGAGTTATTTCGTCGTAAAATATTTATATCTGCAAGCAATGAAATTGAAACGCTGCCCAGCGTAAAACACCGACAGCACGGCAGCCCTCGCCACAGACGCAGATCACTGCTTGCACCGTAGGCGGGCTCAGTACCATAGCACCAGCGTCAGGTCAACGTGCGACCGCAGCGCAATCTATCGTGTCACGGTGTAAATTATTTGTCGCGCATTTTACGTAAGACGCAAATTTTGTTATTAAATTTGTCATATTAGCAATATATCTTGAACAATAATTTATTGACGAAGGTTTTGTTGTTTGGAATAAGATTCGCGAAAATTAAGTTTATAGCGAAGTAGAAACCTTGAATTAATGGCTGACCTGCCTCTATTATATAGTGCGCATTCGATGGATTTGTAATTAATCATGGAACAACTAAACAGAAACTCGAACTAAACAACTTAATCACTCCGGAATTTACTCCATATTAAGTCTATGAAATGAAACGAGTGCACAGTTATTGATATAATTAAAATCTATGATAAAAATTAGCCGACATGATTACATCACGGTGATAATAATTGCTTTTGGCGAACAGATGAAACACTATGTATATATATAGACAACCAGAAGACAACCATTTCAATAATCTAGCCCCACCACCGACGTTCACGTATACTATAGAGCATTGATACTACTGCGACGCGTCTGACGATAGCACGTCATCGCCATTGTCATCGTCATCATCATCGTCATCACCTAGCGTTTTTGTCATCGTTTAATATCATCGTCATCGCTTAGAGTCATCGTTACGACTGACCTCATTTCGGATTAGACTGGAGGAGCTGCTACATGAGGTGCGATTAGTGTTAGGTTTCATGCGAGCAATCTCGGAGTAGCGAGCTCGGGGCCAGGGATGGCGGAAGCCAAAACATGCGAAAATCCTATCTATACATATAAAGATTGTCGCGCGAACGGGGTCACGCGGGTACACGCCGCGCGCCTGCACTCGCACGCGCGCACGGCACGCACCCTCACACACGCGTACACGCACACTGACGTACGCACGCGCATTAATGCCCGCACGCACACTGACGCCCGCACGCACGCTTACACACGCATGCACGCACACAAACGCATACACAGACGCACCCACAACCACAAACGCATACACATACACGAGCCCACGCGCGCACGCACGCACGCACGCACGCACGCACGCACGCACGCACGCACGCACACTTACATCTACGCGCGCGCGCGCACACAGAAAAATAGTAATGATATCAGCGATCGCTGCGGGCGTGGTTAGACATAATACTAAAGAAATTAGAGCGAGAAGGCATTTGTGCGCCTTAAATGTCAGCAATGATTTGAGTGGCGGACTAATTGCATCGAAAACGTTACGGCGTTGTTATTTTATACGGCAGAGTTAGTATAGTCGCGAATAGGTTGGACACGATGCTGCCTTCCTTATTGTTGTGCCATCTGCATCAAACCCTTGGATTCCCATCGCTGCTGCTTGTCAGTGCTTACCACGGTAGGCTGCTCATACACGCCAGTATAGGAAGCAGCTGCTGGCTGAGACATGCGACCGCCCAGCCTGATATCGATGCAGCGCCTACGGAAATATGCACTCCTACATATACAAGCAAGACACCGGGGCTAACAGCAGCGCCGCCGCCGCCGTTCTCTCTCTCTCTCTCTATCTGTCTCCGCTCTCTCTCTCTCTCTCTCTCTCTCTCTCTCTCTCTCTCTCTCTCTCTCTCTCTCTCTCTCTCTCTCTCTCCTCTCTCTCTCTCTCTCTCTCTCTCTCTCTCTCTCTCTCTCTCTCTCTCTCTCTCTCACTCTCTCTCTCTCTCTCTCCTCACTCTCTCTTTCTCTCTTATTCCACCTCTCTCCATTTCTGTTTTTCTTTCTCGCTATCCTTCTCACTAACCGCTCCTATTACACATGAAGCTCCTTTATAACGTCCCACGCGAACAACGAATGGGTGTTGATGGCATTTCGCCGCTGAATAGTCTATTAACATGCATGGGCGAGCAATCAACACCGGTAGAGCGGCAGCAGTAAGCAAATACACGAATAGATTAAAGCCGCACTATGCGCATCCAAACGCTAATTTCTCCAGTACTACACTAGCAAATACTTCGTGTCATGCATAATCACACTACCTTATGACAAAATAAACTCTAGTTTCTCCGATTTCACTGCGCGTTGTCTTATAAAAGGCATTTGAAAATACCTCCAATGTTGTTCAAATTCTCCGATGTTGTTGACACTTTCGCGTTGCTCTGCCAAGCAACCGTGGAGCGGTGCTGCGGTACAGCGGTACGGGTGTAGCAAAGATAAAAACATGTGACGTCACCTAACTGATTCTTGGCGAAATTGTTTGGCAAACAATTTAGCGTTGGCGCCAGATTACCAGATTTCGCACCTCTTTATTGTGGGTTTTAAGCAAACTCGCACTGAAATGGGAGGAACTAGAGTTTATTTTGCCATAAGGTAGAGTGATTATGCATGACACGAAGTATATGCTAGTCTAGTACTGGAGAAATTAGCGTTTGGATGCGCATAGTGCGGCTTTAATATAATTATGTCGTCGGGTGAGAGATGATTAGCCCGGCTTCGTAATTAGCCGCTCGCTCGCTCGCACACACGCAAAAAAACCTTACGGAATCGCAGACGGGCTGACGGATGAGACGCGCTTGCCAACAGTTAATTGCGTAACCCACGCCATTATCATTCAACCTTTCGCGATTATATTGTATCCCGGGCGAACGTCGTCGTTATATATATATATATATATAAGCTCCGCTTGCTAACAGATTGATCCCGCGTCATTGCGCTCACACTCATATTAGCAAGCGCGGAGGCAGCAGCGGCAGCGTGTACGGCGCTAACGCTGTGCTAATGACAGAGATATAAGTAGATACGCAAGCAGCTGTTGGCGCGTGTAAGCACTGACTACTGAATATTTACACTAGCGACCTGCAATGCTATACTGCGTTATATTATTACTGGCTGTGCAAGATCTTACAGAAGTTGTAGTGTAATGCTGCTGCTATATGCGTCGATGGTAGTGATGGTGACGACAGTGGCGACTGTGGTGGTGACGTTGGCGACTGTGGTGGTTGGGTAGCGACTGTGGTGGTTGGGTAGCGACTGTGGTGGTTGGGTAGCGACTGTGGTGGCAGATGGTTGTGGTGGGGTTGCGATTAGTTATGATGTTTGTGGGCACGGTTGTGGGGCTGAGTGGCGGGGTGGAGATGGTTGCTGTAGTGATAGCGACTGTGAAGGGGGTGGGGATGGTAAGTAAAACATTAGTGATAGTCACCGAGGATCTTCGTTTACATACATCTAATGACAATTTTATTTCATTGCAGATAATCGAATCACTTCGACCATAGTTCAGGGGTCACTCTGAACAAGACGAGGAAGAACATACTGAGAATAGTGAAGAACGATTACGAATAATATCGATAACAGAGTGAACAACTGAGATGAACAACGTTTAGAATACGGTGAACAATGTAAACTAGCGACATTTGAAATATCGTGAACAACACGAGCCAAACAACGTGGAACAAACAGCACTCGGAACAACGCGAGACAAACAACAGTGTAAACAACGCGAGAGGAACAACAGTGTGAACAGCGAGAGACGAACAACACTCGGAACAACCTCGCGCACGCACGCACGCATACACATAAACGCACGCACGAACACATATACAAACACACGCACGCACGCCACCATGTCGCCGAGCCTGCCCGGTCCGCACGACTTCGACTCGGAGCACCTGCTGTCGTTCAATGTGTCCGACTACGGCAAGCTGCGCGACATGCTCGAGTCGCAGCAGCTGTCGGTGCCGATCACGTGCGCCGTCATCATCCTGCTCGGCGTCGTCGGCAACGTGCTGGTCGTCGTCAGCGCGCTGCGCACGGCCGACATGCGCACGAGCACCAACCTACTCATCGCCAACATCGGCGTCGCTGACTGCCTCTTCTGCATCTTCTGCTGTCTGCCGGACGCCGTGCGCTATCACCTGTGGCACTGGCCGTTCGGCTGGGGCATGTGTAAGGTGATGTACTTCTTCGCGTCGGTGACGCTCTACATGCGCATCTACACGCTGCTGCTGCTCAGCCTCGAGCGCATGCTGACGCTCATGCACCCGGACGTGAACCGACGCGCGATGTACCTGATCATCGTGGGCGTGCTCTGGATGGTGCTCTGCCTGAACAGCCTCTTCGGACCGATCGTGTCCGTCGTCGTCGAGGTGTTTTACCCGTGGGAGGGCGTCGCCTACGACTGGTGCGTGCTCATGGGCGACACGTTCAACGAGTTCTGGTGGGGCATGTTCATCTTCTCCTTCATGCTGCCGCTCGTCGCCGTCTACCTGATCTTCGCCGTCATGGCGTACCGCTACTGCTTCGGCTACTCGCTCAGCCGCTCGATGCGCGACATACCCGACGCAAAGTCGACGACGGTCGTCGTCTTTCTCGTCGCCGTCATGTGCACCGCCTGCTGGCTACCGCTCTACTGGATCATGCTGTCCCAGACGGGCGGCCCGACGCACATGCCGCATCACCTGGACGTCGCCGTCGACACGGGCGGCAGCGTCGCCGTCGCCTACGTGCTCGGCTACACCGACATGTGCATCAACCCGCTCATCTACTTCCTACTGATGCCGGCCTTCCGCGGAGAGTTCGCTCGCGCGCTCACCGTGCGCTGCAAGAAGACGGTGCTCATGAAGAAGCAGAAGGAAGACGACCAGATGGAGACGAGCAGCCTCAACCGCGCCACCATTGAGCTGTGATGGCGCAGCACGCGCCCCCTCCTGCGAGTGTGACACCCCAAATTGTAAGTGTCGGCGGAAGTCAGCGGTTCGCTGCGTAACTTCACTTGACCCAGCGTGAAGGTTTGTGAGTGAGTCTAGTACGGAGTTTTGCTGCGTAACTTCACTTGATGACCCAGCGTCAAGGTTTGTTCGTCCGATACGGATGCTCATTGCGTAACTTCACTTGATCCAGCGTGAAGGTTTGATCGTCCAGTACGGAGGTTTGTGACGTAACCTCACTCGGCAGCGTGCAGAACTGTTGGTTCAACTGCGAGTGTAAAAAGGACGTAAGGGAGTGTAAGAGACTGTGAGAGAGGCAAGATTGACTGCTTAACTTTATACTCAGCAGTGTAGAGCTCTGTGGATCCAACCTCGTATGTAATGGAAGTTACATTGACTGCATAACACCACTCGACAGTGTACAGGGCTAACTGTTGGTCTAACTGTGAGTGCAAGAAAACCCAACTCACTTCACAGTGTACAGAGCTGTCGGGGCAACATCGAAGGCTACTACCCACAGAGCAAATGTGAGGCAGCGACGGTGTGGATTCCGCCCCGGAGTGCAGGAATACGCGGCAACCGAGCGAATGAATCCCACAAGGCGTGTGAAGACAGAGAGGCGCGGGGGTGAAGTAAATGTCGAGTTGTCGGCTTAGACATTCGCGCTCAACCCGCTTAACTCGAATCTGCGGTTTTGAGGATGCGGGTCAGATCCGGCCCTATAGACATATATATATATATAGTTTATAATATATTATATAATATATATATATATATATATATATATATATATATTATTAATTTGTTATTTATGTACAGTTCAGTTTGGAACAGTTAGCGGTGAGCATGTGATTAGGGGAGCTTAGCTAAGCACTGTCGGCGATTCTTCCTCGTCGGCCTGAACGTGGACAGCCGCTGCGATGAGTTTAACGTCGGCGGCAGGAGAAGCCAGCAGCTGGCATTAACGGCGCGATTCGTGCCGCGGAAATGGCGCGGATCGAGTTCTGCAACGATTGTTCCTTAAATCACATTGGAACTCAACTATAGAATCCGATAGTCGACGCACGTTGCCTGCCACCTATCGCTATACGAGTTGAGTCGATTATTATTAAAAGCCGCACCTACGCGAACGCGTACGTAATAGATAGTGAATTCGATAGTGATTCACGCTTTCACATCGCGGGGAGCTTTCTCCGAATAGAGAATGCGACGCGCGCTAACTATAGACCCCCAGCAGCGCTGGCTGGTGGTTATTTACACCCGCGTTTCCCATAGCCGGTATATAGTGCGGTGAGATTTCGCATAACGGTATGCCACCCCTTGCGCCGGCGCGCATACACACACACACACACAGCAGCACACACGCACACACAACAGCACACACACGCACGCGACGACACAGCACACACACACACATAGTACCGACAACCACTTACACACTCAGCGCACAGCACACACTACACAGACCGCCACCACACACACACACACACGACACACCACAACTCACACACGACAGCACACACACACACACACACACACAACACACACACACACACACACACGCACGCACGCACATACACACACAGCACACATAGCACTAAATCATCATACACCACTCACCACACACAACACACACACACACACACACCACACTACACACACACACCACACACTCTACGACACACACACACACTACACACTACGCGCGCACGCACGCACGCACACGCACACGCGCACGACACGCTCACATCACACGCGCGCACACACACACACACACACACACACACACACACACACACACACGCACACAGGAGCACTGCATGTGGTGCGGCGGCGGCTACCTTCTCAAGAGATTGCAGCCTGTTGCCATCTGAGAAAGGAAACGAAAGCCGCACTTACGGGCAATCGCGGCTATGTCATCATCAAAGGCGGAGTGCGGCGGAGAGGTGAGTGGTGGTGGGGGGGGATTGCGAGACGGGGAGTCGGCGAGAAAGGCACTCATGCAGGCACGGCTTCTGAGCAGCGCCTATAAAAGCACACGGCTTGTAATCAGGCCGAGCCCGAATTCGGCCGCAATTTTCCCCTACTCTACATCTCGCGCGCCGTTTGATGGCGACGTCTATTAGCGCATCATTATGAACAAATAGCGAAATTAAAACGCGGTCGTGACTGCGAGAGCCTCGTTTGATATTCGCCGACATTTTCCGATTTTACGTAGACTTGCCGTACGGAGGCGATTTTCACTATATGCTCAATACGCTTCTTTTATGTTGAGGTATATCGCCATTCGACATATATATACCCACGGGAACTGCAATGTGTCGAATTATGATATACCTGCTATTTGAGTATACGTTGCACATACGTTGAATGTGATTGGACCGTCAAAGTCACGTGGGATTAAGAGTAGACCAAATGTCAAGAGAGACCCCAGGTTGTTAATAGCACGGACTTATTAGATTCATATTACATATAGAGGCATCTATAAATACGCGTGTATATAGAGGGAACTCGTAAACGTCGAATAGGCGCATACCAGGTGTATCATTAATATAGTCAACACGCGATGAGATCTTGTATGTAAGATGTCCTATAGATAACGACAATTTTGTGACGTATTCAAAATGGCCGATCACGGAACAGTTTACGCAGGTGCATCTGGCAGCTGCTTGTCGTGGAAATCTACACCCTGGTCCTTCCACGTGCGCCTAGCTTACACACTGTTCTATGTCAATCAGGAGTTCATAAGGGAGGGGTGCTCGTTGTAAGAAACATCTGAAAATGTTGTGTCATCATAAACGACATGGCTAAACCTTTGAAGGGAAGTGTCGTGTAAAGGTCATGACATTTTAGACGTTTGATAGTGTCGGCTATGATGCGTGTAACAACCTGCCCCCCATCCCCTTGAGAGATCGTGCACGTAGGTGCGATGTGATCAGCAGCGGACACGACACTAGTGCTGCGTGACTCACTGCGACACATCGCGTCTCGACAATAGTTGCCTTCCGGGGTTCTAGATCTACACCACTTACTCACGCAGCTCTCCCCGGTGATGAGATCTGGTCGCAGCAAGAGGGTGTAAATCTAGCCGTGTCTAAACCTATCTGTCGCCACAAGTGAGACGGAGAGGCGAAGAGCCCTGGGTACCGTATTAGTACTACTGCCTGCGTGTAATATACGGGAACGAACGCTCGCTTGCGTGAGCACGGCCTGTCGTGTAAGCTTCCCCTTGCGTTTACGTATCCCGTTCGTTTGCGTAAAGGTCAACAGAGGGCGCGCGCGTTAGATGGGAGATGTTAGAGGCGAGCGTGATTACCTATATCCGCATTTGCATAGTCAGGTGACGACTGCTGAAGGCTGGGCGGGAGTCTCACGTGACGTCACGTTGTTCGTATGGTATCGATCTCACTCGGCACGCGTCGCACAGACACCTGCGTGTGCACCTACCTGAGGAGGTTAGCTATACGACAACGACGACGTCATCGCCTTTTGCGAGGGCGCGAAACATCTTCGCTCGTGTCTTCGTATGTATCGGGAACAGGGTTCTGGTGTTATAGCTTCATTGGCGAGCATTTTATATAAAGCTTGATCAAGGTTCGATAGTGATTCCTAGGTTTACTATCCGGTGTATGTATCGGTATGGGGCTAGCCCACGGTCGCGGCGCGCTTTAGTGGAGAGAGTGGAATGGCTAACGCGTCCTTATTGTATGGACGCAGTCGTCAATGTGCAATATAAAACCGAATAAATATATACATATTTGTGTGTGCGTGTGAATAAAACAATTGAACATTTGAATGTATACAAACTCAATCTATCGCTCTGGCATGAATGCTATACTGATTAGCTATTGCGTCCATTAGAGGAATAAAGCCGATCGTATCTTCCGTCTTCGAAAGTTCGCTCCACTCATCATATAATGACTTCAGCGGCCAAATCGCGTGAGAGGCTGAACTGTATAATTCTACCGGCGGCGATGCCGACGAGCTTGTTGAAATCCTATCAATGGAAGATCTAGATCTCGTTTGCAATTCAGCGGCCGCATTTTATTCACTTTCGAGCCAGGCACGGCGGCGGTGGTGATGATAAACGACCCAGCTAATGGGAGGGAGCCAGGGATGCGGCCGGGCGCATGAAGACAGACACCTAGCGAGCATGGGCATTCTAATTCGGCCGTCACATATCCAGCTAGCGCAAAGTAATGGAATGTGCGCGCGGTGAAAGGCTGGATTGAAGAGCTTTAGTTTCCGCTATCAAAAGAAACGATTTAAAAATGGAATGAATCGAGTAAGCTGCAGGAGAAAAATGAATCTAAAGCCCTATGAGGTTAACACAGACGTGTCTAGGTGGTCAGGGAAAACAGGCCAGAGTGAGAGTGGAAGAGACTCGGATAAGGAAATAGCGCAAAGGAATGAGAGCAAAATAGAGAGGTGGGAGAGATAGGGGGAGCGAGAAAGAAAGAAATAGGAAGAGGAAAATAGAGAGATATGAAGAAGTGATATATGAGAAGTGAAGAAGTGATGAGAAGATATGAGATATGAAGAAGTGGGATGGTGAGCGCGTGAGAGAGAGACAAACAGCCAGACAGACATAAAGAAAGAGTGAGAGAGACAGAAAGAGATAGAGAGATAGAGCGAAAGAGAGAGCGAGAGAGACGAAGAGATAGCGAGAAAGAGAGAGAGAGATATATAGAGAGAGTGAGAGAGAGAGCGAGCAAGCGGAAGAGCGAGAGAGCGAGAGAGCGAGAGAGCGAGAGAGCGAGAGAGCGAGAGGACTAGATAGACAGGAAGATAGGGCCGTACATATCAGCACCTCATGCATCACGTACCAGCTCAGCAGCGAATGTTGGCGGTGGATAAGCCTATGGTGTAAGTCGGTCTGTCTACGTGCGATTTAATGCGTGGCTAAAATCGGATGTTGTTGAGGAAGCGATATCCAGAAATATACCATTCATTGGTTGAGTCACGTAGAATCCGGCGCT